TTTGACAAAATTCAACATGCATTTATGTTCAAAGTCCTAGAGGGAATAGGACTGGAGGGAACATACCTCAACATAATTAAAGCTATATATAACAAACCCACAGCCAACATCAATCTAAATGGAGAAAAACCAGATGCATTCCTGAAATCAAGAACCAGACAAGGCTGTCCACGATCTCCACTTCTCTGAAACTCTTGCAAGAGCAATAAGACAAGAGCAGGAAATTAAAAGAGTACTAATTGGAAAAGAAGAGATCAAATTTCCCTTTTTGCAGATAATATGACGATGTACCTAAGAGACACCAAAAATTCCACCAGAAAACTCCTAGAAATTATTAACACATTCAGTAAAGTGGCAGGTTACAAAATTAACCTACAAAAGCCTGTAGCCTTTCTATCTACCAATAACAACCAATCAGAAAAAGAGCACATGGAAACACTCCCCTTCACAATAGCTGCAAAATAAATAAATAAATAAATTATCTCAGAATAAACCTGACCAAAGACATTAAAGAGCTCTACAATGAAAATTTTAAATTTTTAAAGAAAGAAACTGAGGAAGACATCAGAAGATGGAAGGACCTCCCATGCTCATGGATTGGAAGAATTAATATTGTGAAAATGAACATCCTACCAAAAGTCATTTACAGATTCAGTGCAATACCAATCAAAATCCCCATGACAGTTTCCACAGACTTGGAAAAAACCATCCTAAGATTCATATGGAAGCACAAAAGACCTCGGATAGCAAAAACAACCCTGAGCACTAAGAGCAATGCCGGGGGGATTACTATACCAGATTTTAAACTGCATTACACAGCTATAGTCATAAAAACAACAGGGTACTAGCACAAAAATAGTCCCATAGAACAATGTAACAAAATTGAAGACCCAAATATGAGAAAATGCAATTTAAGCCACCTGATATTTGACAAAGGGGCCAAGAATATTCACTGGAGGAAAGACAGCATGTTCAGCAAATGGTGCTGGCAAAACTGGATCTCCACCTGTAGAAGAATGAAACTAAACTCCTGTCTTTCACCTTGCACAAAAGTCAGTTCCAAATGGATCAAAGACCTCAATGTAAAGCCTGAAACTCTGAAATTGTTAGAAGAAAACATTGGGAAAAACCCACAAGACATAGGTGTAAGAAAGGATTTTCTAAACCGAACATTAATTGCTCAGGAAACAAAGATAAGAATTAACAAATGGGACCTCATTAAACTAAAAAGCTTCTGTACGTCAAAGGAGGCAACCAGGGAAGTGAACAGAAAACCCACAGAACTGGAGAAAATCTTCACCAGCGACACATCCGACAGAGGTTTAACATCCAGAATACATAACAAACTCACAAAACAGAATCGAGACGAGAAGCAAACCAATTAAAAGATGGGCTAAGGAGCTGAACAGAGAGTTCTCAAAAGAAGTAAAGATGGCTATGAAGCATCTTAAAAGATGTTCAACATCACTAAT